TTATAGGTAGTCTATCTTATATAAGCAATTGGTCGAGACCTGATATTTCATTTGGAGTAAATCAATTAGCGAGATATAATGCAGAGCCAACTGATAGGCATTGGCAGGCCGCAAAGTGTATATTAAGATATCTGAAAATGACGATGCATTATGCATTGTATCTAGAACCTAACAATGATTTAGTATTGAGCGCATATGCTGATGCCAGTTTTGCTACTGATTTGACCACCAGAAAGTCCACATCGGGTATAGCTATCATGTTAGACAATTGTTTGATTGGCTGGAAATCGATTCGTTAAAAACATATTAGTCTATCTACTATGGAGGCAGAATTCTCATCTTTGTCACTAGTTTGTACTGAATCTGATTTATTACAAACAACTAATGATGGATATTGGTTTAAAGATGGATTATCCAATTGTAATACATGAGGACAACCAAACTGCTATAAAAATGGCAACAAATTTAGAAGTTAAAACTAGATGTAAGTATACTGACATTCAGTATCTGAATGTTCGGCAGTGTATCCAAAGCAACATGGTTAAGTTGGAATATTGTATGTCTTGAAGACAATATTGCTGATAATTTTACCAAAGCACAAGGTGCTATCAAACATAAAACGTGTTGTGAAAGCTATAGATTAAGAGTCCAAACTGTATATATTGACCTGTCCAAAGGGGAGAATGTTAGGATATGGTTTGAGCCTAACAAGTTGTCCAGGCAATATATGTGTTCTGTGGCTTTAGTATGAATATGTATTGTGTGACTTTAAAGTTTTACTGCTGATTCATTGTAATTCTGAGTCATGTTGTGAACGTATTTAAGAAAGGTACTGTAACGTATTCAGTTGATGATAAGCTACCATTGTGTGAGGAGTGCTATCCATTGTGCTATCATCGTTGGATGGATCTGCTACCATAATGGTTTGTGAACCAGAGTGAGTTTGTCATTCTAACCAACTACTATTTGTATGGTTAGAAGATATCTGTATCACTGGACTGATTTAACTGGCAAAGACTTGGATTGATTTAAAGACTATGAGATTGTTTTTTCACTATAAAGTAAACTTTTGATAAACCAGTTTGCACATCTCTTATTCATTGCTCCCAGCAATGTTCCTCTGTGCTCTACACTCTGCTGGTTGGTAACACAACAATATCCTTAACAATGGCGAACCTATGGCACGCATGCCATAGGTGCACAGGGAGCCATATCTGTGGGCACGCGAGCATTGTCCTAGCTCAGCTCCAGCATGCATGTGCACGCTGGCCAACTGATTTTGGGGCCTTCTGGACCCACCGGAAGTCGGGAAATGAGCCGTTTCTGGCCTCCAGAGGGCCTCCGGTAGGAGTGGGGAAGGCTGTTTTCGCCCTTCCCAGCCTCCTAGAAAACCTCTGAAACCTGGGGAGAGCAAAAACCACGCCTTCTGGTCCCACTAGAAGTCGGGAAACAGGCCATTTCCAGTCTCTGGAGGGCCTTCAGGGGGTGAGGAAGGCTGTTTTCACCCTCCCCGGGCTCCAAGAAAGCCTCTGGAGCCTGGGGAGGGCGAAAAACGGGCCTACCGGGCCCACCGTGCCATCGCATGCCAAAAGTGGGTGGGAGCATGGGTGGGTCATGCGTGCATGCACAGGGGGTTGGGGTGCATTGAATTATGGGTGTGGGCACGCGCGCGCAACCCTCCCACATGTGACCCCTGCTTTTGGCACGCGATGGCAAAAAGATTAGCCATCACTGGCCTAGGCTATGTTTGAATGTGAAAAAATGCTATGAGTGTGGTTGTGATATTTCCCTCTCCCTCCCTCTGTCATCCATTCTAAAACTCTGTACAGGTAGTCCTTGACTTACAACAGTTCATTTAGTGACCATTCAAAGTTACAACGGCAATGAAAAAAGTGATTTATGACCGCTTTTCATACTTACGACCATTGTAGCATAGCTAGGCAACTGGTTCATATTTATGACAGTTGCAGTGTCCCAGGGTCATGTGATCACCTTTTGTGACCTTCTGACAAGCAAAGTCAATGGGGAAGCCAGATTCACTTAACAACCTTGTTACGAACTTAACAACTGCAATGATTCTCTTAACAACCGCAAGAAAGGTTGTAAAATGGGGCAAAATTCATTTAACTTAGCAACATAGATTTTGGGCTCAATTGTGGCCATAAATTGAGGACTATCTGCACATCAGCTGGATTTTCTTCAAACACAGTTTTGTTAATATAAAATAATCCAAGCCAATTTTAGTGATATATGACCTGGTTCTAAACCCAATCCCACAATAACATACATACACTGAGTGTTCCATGGAGCTGGCGTATAGGGAATCATATAGGTCAGGAGTGTCAAACTCGATTTCATTGAGGGCCGTATCAGGGTTGTGACTGACCTTGGGGGGCCAGAGTGGGTGTGGCCAGCTTGACGTCACTCGTGTTGGTGGCGCCTGTGGTGACCCAAGTGCTCTCCCAGCAAAATGGGCTCCCAAGCTCTGTTTTCAGCTGCTATGGCCTCCTGAAGCCCTCTGTCAGTGAAAACGCAGCTGGTGAGGCATGTGTCACCTGCCAGTCCTTGTTTTTGGCTGTGACGGTCTCCTGCAATCCTCTGGGAGCTCCATTTTCTCTGGCAGAGTGTTGCAGGAGGCCATCGCCGCTGAAAAAAGAGCCTGGGAGGGCCGTATGCTGCCCACCCAAGCTTCTTTTCACTGGTAGAGGCACCACAGGCTGGTCCTTCACTGTTTCCAGGGTGGCCTCGTGGGCCAGATCTAAGCACCCCGCGGGCCGAATCAGGAGTTTGACATCCCTGATATAGGTCCTGTTAAGGAATTTCACTAGCTTGCAGCCTGACAGATGGCAGATATGACCAGCATAGAGATGCAAGCTATATCAGTGTGGTACACAAAGCTTTCCACAGTACAAAGTGGAATTCTATATTGTGTGTCAATCTTGGTTCAGTGGATGTTCAATAATCTTGGTATAGAATAAACTATGCATCTAATTTCCTAAAGGAAGTATGATGCAGTCATTAAGATGCAATTCTCCCAACTTCTATGAAGAAGGGAGGTTCTGTCAAACTTTTGACCAAGTGGTAGATGAGGGGTTGTCATGCAAGCCCACTCCTTTTAAACTTGTATGAAATATGGCTGCAAAAGAGCTGTGCATGGTAACCCTTTGTATAGCATCTTACTAATTTGATCTGTCCCAGGGATTGTGCTGGATGTTTCCCTGCACAAGGATCCTAAAAAGATAGCTTCCTGTACACCATGGAAACCCATCAATTTTTGAAACCTGAAGAGGCAGACATTTTGTCTACCCCTTTTCATGCTCATATATCTGCTTTTCAGGATTTTTTTCATTTCTAAAATGGAACACTGGTCTCAAAAGAGAAGCCCATGCAGTACCATGAAATCAATGGTGTGGCCTTTGAGAACCAGAATATTGCTAGGGTAATGTCCGTGCTTCAAGAAGAGCTCATGAATTTCCCTTTATACAAGTTATTCACTGTCAAGTGTCCTTTGATAATAGAAGGTGAAAACTGTGCAAAAAACTATTCTAACTCAGTTATCTGCCCAGTCCACAATTTCAAACCAATCTTGATACTCTAGGTATCTCTAGGCTGTGATCTGTCCAGAGACCAGATTCAATCTAAATATATTTTCCTAGTATGTACTCTAAGACTAATCTGCCTCTAATTCTGAATGCATGAAATAAGTTTGAAATTTATTTATTTATTTGGTCAAACACCAGCAACCTCAAATGGCAAAACGAGTGATAAAAAGCAGGAAACACAGCCAGGATCAAAAAGGAGGAGCTGATGCAGCCACAGACAAGGAACTACAAAATAAATCAAACAATACGCTGTCCACCCAGCCAATGTCAACAAAATCAATACAATGAAAGTATGCAACCACATATACGTTCTCTACAAATTATTGGAAAATAACTAAGCAAAGCATTAATATAAATAATGATCTTTGGTTCTTTGGATGTTTTTTCCTTATTAGGAAACAGCAGAAAATTTTGCTACTGCACGAGTGGTGGCTGGATTTGAATCCTGAAGGAAATGGTTTAGGAATTAGTGGATTTAATTATACTGTGATTAAATTCACTGAAATTATCAGGATGACTTCCTTAAATGTCATTGATTATACTGGGTCTGCTCTTATATCACTAAGTTTGGATTCTGTCTGGTAAATTGATAGGTAGTTAAATTCATTGGGCTCTGCTCAAATGTTAACTACAGATACACCATGACTCACGCCTGGTTGCTTAGTGACTGACGGAAGGTATAATGGACCTCCCCAGAGCTACTTATGACCTGTTTTCTAAGATAAGACAGCCATACACCTCTAGTCACGTGACCACATTTTGGGTGCTTGTGAACTGACTCACCTTTATGGCCATTTGTAACATCCCATGGCCATGTGACTGGGTTTGCGACGTGTTTGCTGGTTTCCAGCATTTATTTCCACAGATTCTGGCAAAAAAACACCCATTGGAGAAAATGGATTTGCTTAATCACCATGGTGTTCACTTAACTACCACTACAAAAACATTGAAACATTGGGTCCAGTCATGTGATGCCATGACTTATGGCCTTAATAACTTTTGATCATAATTCCAATTCTCCATTATGGTCACAAAACATGGTCTAACTGTAATGACTCCATGAATTGTTTTAAAACTCTTTCTTAAAAATAAGCATGCTGGAATTGCCTTGAAGGAACGTTAGAAACTGATGAAACAAAATGCAGATAATTGAGCAGAGTTGTCTCATTACGTTATTCAATCTGAATCATATTTCTCTCTTGCAGTTTTGTTATCAGAACTATTATTTCATTATACAGGACTTTTAAAAACCCAGGAACATTAAACATTTAAAAAACAATAACAATTTTTTTTTCTAGTCATGAGGTTATGCAGGGAGTTATTGCTTAATATTACAAAGGGGACAACGAACCAGAGGGTGGATATCACAGTGCTAAAATGTATTTAGAATCAGTAAGATTTGTTTCCAAACATGCAAGTTTTAATAAGCTTTTAAAGGAGGAAAAAAAAAAAAAAGGAAAAGGAATGATACTTCCTATTAACTGATTTCTGGATCAGGATCATTTGTTCCATCACGCTGAAAAACAAGGAAATAAGATCTCACACAGAAGCCACAGTAATTGTCAAAAATACAGAAGGTTGGTCTTATTCTTAGAAGTCTAAAATGTTTCTTCCAAGCATTTAGATGCAGGCAACGGCCACTATAAAGCCTTTTGTGAAAGATCCCTTCCTCCCGGCACACGGAGACGCAGGCACAATTGATTCCTAACATTGTTTCTGTTTTCCTTTTGCAAGGCCACCCCTTATCAAGTTATGTATGAATGAACAGAAGGGCCTTTCATTCCCCCCCTCCCCCTCACGCAAACTTGCCTTGGTGTTTCAAAAGGAATGACTAAAATAGCATCGACAAAAATCCAGCCCTACAGCCTGCCAGAAGAACCCGCACACGTCCCATCCTTAAGGCATGTGAAAGGTTGAAGAGCTCAGCGAAATTTTTATGTACGGGAGCCGGCCCAAGGAAAACTCACACGCCATAACCAATTGTGGACAGAGTATCATCTATCAGCAGACAAATGCAGGATCTCCAGAATGTCTCTCCTCAAATGAAATAATATATCTTTGAAAGCCAATGCCTGTTTTAGGCCCGTGGCCCATATATCAAGCCAGAGAGGCTTGTGGATACGCTCTACGGCCATTAACCTTCCACCTGTTTCCCCTTGTCCTTCAGGAGGAGACCCTGCCCTTGATTTTACTCCCTTCCCTTGTTCATCTTCCGACAGAGTGCAAATGTAAAGCAAAGGGCCTGCGAAATAATTCAAAGGCAATGGACCAGGGACATGGTTACAAATCTCTGCCACTGGCACTGTGACTTATGCAGGCAGTTTGTCACACATGAGCCAGGTGACCTCTATGACATAACAGAGAAAAATATGGCCAGAGATCAAAAAAGGAGACACGGAGCTAACTTTGGGAGGGGTGATGGTGGTTTGCAAAGTGATATTAAACAATATATGAATTGTCCCCTTTTCTGAAAACTCCCCCTCCCTTCCTTGATAAGGGAAGCAAAAGTGCCCTTAACCACAGATATTTTTCTATTTGGAGAGGGAGAAAATGACTTGTCCAAATATTTAGGGTGATTCTCCCTGTCCGTCCGTCCCCCCAATCCAATCTCATATTCCTGCAACAATTTACAAGTGGAAATCTTATTTATACTACTTCTTAATATCTTCATATTATTATAACAAAGATCATTACCTGAGGAACATATATATGCTGATAGAAATAGGCAGCATTATAGATCCCCCCCTCTCTCTCTGTGCGGTGTGTGTGTGTGTGTGTGTGTGTGTGTGTGTGTGTGTGTGTGTGTTTTATACAGCAATAGCCTACTGCTGTTGCTAATAGCCTCTCTGGAGCAGCCTGGGTCATTCGAGTTTCCTACAATATTAAATCTCAATGTAATGGACCTGCCTATAGTTCCAACACATCAGAAATACAGCCAGTAGCTTTTACTATACTGAATATAAGAGTAAGAAGGAAGGAGCATGTTGGTATTATGAGTCAATGCATATACAGGTAGTCCTAGACTTACGACCACAATAGAGACTGCTCATCAGAATAGTGAGTTGTGATGGACATAAAACAGGTCACCCATTTTTTTGCAGCAGTTGTTAAGGGAATGCCGAGGTCATTGGGCCAGTTTTGCTAAAAACTGAAAGTAAATGCTGGTTTCAGGCAAAAACATCAAAAAACGTGGTTAGGTAACCACTGGACATTGTAAATGGCCAATTGTAACTGTGGGCCAATTCAAGTGACCATGCTGGGAAACAGCTATTGGAACTAAGTTGTAAGTATGCCCAGGAAGGTCTGTCATAACTTTGAATGGTGGCTAAGCAACCAATCATAAATCTAGGACCACCTAGACACAGTTCTATGAATATGTGCTAGGTGGAGCTCTGTTTCTCAAGATGTTTCTCATCATGTGCCGTGGTGGCGCAGTGGTTAGAATGCAGTACTGAAGGCTAATTCTGCTGACTGCGAGCTGCTTGCAATTTGGCAGACTGAATCTCACCAGGCTCAAGATTGACTCAGCCTTCCATCCTTCTGAGGTGGGTAAAATGAGGACCCAGATTGAGGGCAATAGGCTGACTCTGTAAACCACTTAGAGAGGACTGGAAAGCACTGTGAAGTGGTATATAAGTCTAAATGCTGTTTCTATTGCTATTTGGAGTTTTGTATTTCTAGAGACCAGGAGGTGTAACCAGACAGAAACTAAGCCTGATGATGGTTTGAAAAAGTAGTGCCACCATAAATGCTCCAAGAGGCAAAGAGAAGGGATGGCTCTCAGAGAACAGTAAGGAAAATACTTACACACACACACCCTACGTGACAAACAGGGTAGTGTAGTATAATGCTAAGGTACTGGATTAGGACTGGAGAAACCCTAGTTCTACTCCTTCTTTAGGCATAGAAACTAGCTGGATGATTTTAGAGCAGTCACTCTGTTAGCCCTGAACTGGGAGATAGAAATAACAACCCTCTCTGGACTAGTATGTTAGATAATCCATCATTTTCAGTGAAGTGGCCTTCATCTTGCAGTGGATTGATTCAGGCTGATAACAATAACACCACACTTACAGATATGTGCATACATATACACAAATGTGCAAAATGGGCCATGAACCAGATTTCCTTCCTTTTTCTGTTTTGTGAAATGTAGTAAGTCTACCTATAGTGTGGTGGTACAGGAGCCACTTAGGAACTTGCTCTAAAATTGTTTGAATTCTGATTAGCGACACACTTTATCAATATGTTTCGGAAAACAAAAATAAGTGACTATTGCTTTTAATTTTAAAATTAAAATTACAATTACAGAATAGTGCATCTTTTATTACAAATATAATGCAGCTAGTCTGATGAAGAAGGAAAGAGTTAATTAACTAATAAATTCACAATGCATGGTTTGCCATCCTTACAACCATTAGCATTTTTTTTAATGGAAATTCAAGTATAAAATTATGGGGTCCAAGGTGATCTCTGAGCTTGGTTGTTTTCTTGTAGACGTTTTATTGCCTAACTAGGTAACATCATCAGTGCTACATCAATACATAATTTTAAAATTATATATACAGAGCTGGAAAAGTAGGTATACAGATTCTCTCTGTGTATATGAGTTTGTGTTTTGGCAAATGACAATATAACCATAATTATGAAGTATTTTGAATTATGAATCGGTATGATCTTATTTTCAAAATGTTCTCAACCTTATAAATCTGTCAGAGTGTTTGTGTGTATGTGTATGTGTGCGGATCTACACACACCAACACCCACCCACAACACGTGCATTCTTAAGATTAAGTTAAAGGCATTCAAGGAATATTTTACAAAGGGATTTGCAGACGACAGAAATTATATTCATGCCCCCGAAAGACTTAATTGGAACAAAATCCTGTTTTATGCATGTATGCCAAGCAAAGTTATGACCCTAAATTTCAGAAAATGGTTATCCAGAAAGGAACAAGGCTTAATCAAAATTAATTTCCACTTTCAATTCAACAATTCAAGTTGTACAATATATGAAATTTTCCAGCTGTTTTGTACATCGAAGATTTCTCTGCTGGATAAAGTTGAAAGGAAAGTTTTTATACAACCTTCCTTCACCCCTGCTGTGACTTTAATGGCTTGTCTGGTATGGACATTTATTTTTTTTTCCTTTTTCATAAATTATTATCTGCCATTATGATCCCAGATATGGTGGTGATGAAATTTACATTCTAAATATAAATGTTATTGCAGTTCCTTCTAAAATCCAATCAGATTAGATATCAGAGAAATAAAATGCCTATTTTTTTTTCTTTTAAATGGTGCATCGTCAGTCGGAAATGGGACTGTGGCATTGCAAAAATTGTTTGATTCTCTATTTAATTTGCCTTTTCACAAAATAAAATGTTAGGAAATGTGTACTGAACTGTACTTATACATTTTCTCTATTGGAACAAACAGAAATTCCAGAAGTTGGAAGAATTTATATAAGGAAGATGTCAATTATTAGAATATTCCTTTAGGCCTTTCTAAATTGTAGACTTTTAAAATTTAGATTTAAATATTAATGTGTTAAAAGACTTCATCACAGTTATCTACATCTTGTCTAATCAGGCAAACTTACCTATTACTGTTATTATTGCTCATATTACAATTTATTTTACAGATCACACTACTCTAAATTCTACAGTTCTACAGGTCTACTCTTAAAAGGAAGAGAAAAACTCATTTTAGGTGTAAATGATCTACACCCTGGCAGATAACAAAAAGTAACTCTTTCTGACAGGCCTAATTCTGTCAATAAAAGTGCTTTCAGTGTTGAATGTTCTTATTCTGTTATTCAATTAGTTAAAACCAACACCCTCCTTTCTCTCTTGACGCAGAGGCTCAACCAGAAAAACAGTTTTAGAACAGCCTTGAATCTGGAATTAATTCATAGAATCTTAAATGATGGAGGATTTGTTTCGTGGCTGTAGTGGTAGACACTTTAGATGACGATTTACATCAATGCATTTAACTTCCAAAAAAAGTAAACTGGTCCTACTGCCATTTTGGGCCACCACATTTGTTCTCCTAATGGAGTCATCCGCTTTATTCTCCTAATGGAGTCATTAAACCCAGGGTTAATGGACAGCCACCAAAAGGTTGTCTGGGGGAGATTCATACACACTGTTGAAGCTTCAATTTCCCATTATCATAGTGACTCATATCCTGGTCACCTCACAACCTGACCACTTGGAAGCTTGAATTAATCCAGAAACAGTGGCATGGGCAGTGATGGGCAAGCCTTGGTGTGTCTATGTAATACTTCTGCTTTGCAAGCTGCCCTAGTTTCTGTTATGTTTCCAGATGCTGGTTATGACCTATAATGCCCTACATGGCATCAAACCTAGATACTTGAAGGACTTTCTGTCTCCTGTGGTAGCAGTTGGCTGATTCAATCCAATAGGGCCGTGATGGCGAACCTATGGCACGCGTGCCACAGGTGGCACGCAGAGCGATATCGGTGGGCACGCGAGTGTTGCCCTAGCTCAGTTCCGGCACACATGTGCACGCCGGCCAGCTGATTTTCAGGCCTTCTGGGCCCACCGAAAGTTGGGAAACAGACTGTTTCTGGCCTCTGGAGGGCCTCCGGGGGGTGGGTGTGGGTGTGGGTGGGGAAGGCCTGTTTTTCGGTCTCCCTAGGCTCCAGAGGCTTTCTAGAAGTCTGGGGAGGACGAAAACAGCCTTCCCACTCCCGAAGGCTCTCCGGTAGCTGGAAACATCCCGTTTCCCGACTTCCGGTCCCACCGGAAGTCAGCAAACAGGCCATTTCCAGCCTCCGGAAGGCCTCCGGAGGGGTGGGGAAGGCTGTTTTCGCCCTCCCCAGATGTCTATAAAGCCTCTGGAGCCTGGGGAGACTGAAAAATGGGCCTACTGGACCCACTGTGCCATTGCTTGCCAAAAGTGTGGGGAGTGGGTGGGTCGCATGTGGGGAGGCATTGAATTATGGGTGTGGGCACCCATGCGTGCAACCTCCCCCCGCTTTTGGCACGTGACGGCAAAAAGGTTAGCCATCTCTGCAATAGGGTATCCATACTCCAGATCCTTTCAGTTAAGCAATATTATCTATTGGGACTCAGGATGCATGCCTTCTCTGTTATAATGACTATCCTCTGAAATAAGGATCTTCCTGATATCCATGTGGCTCCTAA